AACAAAACAACAAAAAATATCCACCAAAAAAACCAATCTGTTTAATGGATGACTTACTTTTTTCTATTGTTTCTAATTACATATGACTAGCCAGTATTGTTGTTCTTTGGGTCATGGTGCAAGACTAATTTCTTCCATCCAGCCATTACCTCCTAAGTAACTTACGCAAAGAAAATCCTCGAAAAACCTTTGTTCAGTCTTATAGACATGGAGATTTCAAAAGTGGAAAAGATATATGTTTTTCACTATTTTAAAATAATTTTTTTATCCTATAGTTGGCTTAATGAATTGACATGTAGTAATGAACCAGATTCTACACAGTATCATGTGAACACAGAATTTCTCCAGTGGTATTTAGTGCTATATAATATACATCTCATTTTTCATTCAGAATAATTTAGATGAAGCTTACATATTTACATAGTAAGACCTGGATGATTCAGGAGATTTTAATTAGGAGATTCAGGAGGTTTTAAAGGCTTTTAAATTTAGTTATCTGGAATCTAAAATAGGTCAGGGCTGATTGGAATTTTATTTTTTCTAATGACTAGTTATAGATTTTTGCAAAATTATTTGATGGTCCTCAGCCTCTCCTTGGATTCATACTGATTCTCAGGAGGGCTGTCTCTTTCTGGTGTACTCCTGCTGCCTTGAAAATCAGAGCTTGTTTTAAAACATTATTTAGATTAATTATGTCATCCATACTGGCACACAGACACTTCCCTCCTAAAACTGGAAGGTAATAATTGCCTAGAAATAAGCCGATCACAAATATTTCTGTGGAGCTTGATGACCTCAGCTGCTACATTAGGACCAACAAATCCAACAAGTCTAACATAACATGAGCTTCCAAATGAAACATTTATTATTTAAAATACTAAGATTGGGATTCTATTTACCTTCTGAAACTTTAGGTCTTCTCAAAGTTTTGTTTGCTCCCTTATTTTAGGGGAAACCACATTTGAGGGAATTGCTTGAATACTGCAGATGTTAGAGGCAGCCTTGCAGGAAAAAAATCCCCAAGACTTCTGTTACATGAGTATTTATCAATAAAATTAATGGTGACAACAATCCTGTGCACGCCCAAGGCTCTGCAGGTCAAGAGTGGGATATCACAGGTGTTTCAGAGATGTTCATTACCTTCTTACAAACTAGGTTTAGTTCAACAGTTTATACCAGATGGTATTCAATGTATCCAAAATTGCTTTTTTGTGGAATTCTTCTTAGCTCAGAATTTTAGTGCTATGCAAAATATACAGTTCAAGCACACATATGAAACAGCTATCGATGTTTCTCTGTGAAAATATTTTTCTTTTTTAATTAACTGCTTTAAATAGTCATGCTATTCTTTCACTTTCTTGCTGCCAGAAGGTCCCTAAATAAATTGTTTGGGAATACTGATATTTAGCAGGCAGGGCAGCGAAGAATATAAATTAACACTTCCAAACTCATCCCACTGCAGAATTAAGAGATCAGTAGAGATCTTAGATGTCCTTTTGTGATATGTGTTATCAGTAATTTTTAATTAGTGTACTGTTACCTTCCGGTACTTTAATTAGGCAAGCCTCAAAAATAAGTGTGTTTTGTTGGACACTCTGTACTCAGTTTTCTTAATGGCTCCTATGTTCTTATTTTGATATATAATAAAAAAGTAGTTAGAATAGGACACTGGGTAAAAATGAAGTCATTATTCTTAGAGACTTTGAAAAGCTGCAAGTAGAAAATCACTTAAGCATGTGTATTTTTCCTCGCCTCAGTGTTGTTACAGACAAGCTTAGAAATGAGTTTATGTTTGGGTGCTTTGCTTAGGGTGTAGGCATTTAGCTCCCAGGACTGAGTGTTACTCTGACTGATCAGAAACTGTGTTTCTGCCTAAGAAATCAAATCCAGACAAACATTTAAGTAGACAATTTATCCTCTGATAATCATGTTTCATCTCAAGAGAAAGCTGCTATGTGTTGCTCTTAGTTTCTTCATTCATGAAGCAAAAATGGGTTTTACAGAAACATAAAATAATCAGCAATGCCTTTTCACATAAAAATTCATGTATCCTATAATAATGTGTGAACTTAGGAAAATGCTACAGTAACTCATATAGGTAGTGTGAACAAGTTTATCCCTTTTACTAAATGGATGTGAAATAATAGGGCTTTTAAGAATGAGGACACTGTCTAAAATTTAAAGGAGAGAAATAGTATTTTATTACATAAAATGAAATTAAGACTTACAGAAATTATTGTCAAATAAGAAAACATGGTAAGGCCATTCAACTGTGGGACAACATATCCCTATTACTTCAAGGACAGTAGTATTATACACTTCCACACTGACAGTAGGTACAATTCTAGTAAACACTGCACACAAAAGTAATGTTAATAAATTAGTAAAACTTGATGTTAAAACTACTGACTTCGGTTTGAAATTATTATATTAACAGATACTGCTAATTTAATGGCTTCCCCATAGAGTCAGCCTTTATTACTCAGCATTTAGAAGGGTCTCAGATGGAGTGCTGTGCCCAGTTGCCAGAACTATGGTCAAAGATAATGAAAGAAGCAGTTACAGAGTATGCAGAGAGCAAAACCAAGAATGAGCAGAGGCCTTGCAGTGGCCATCTATAGATGGAAAGGAATTGATGCAACGTACTGAAGAGGAAAGTATTCAAAAACAGGAAAGTGAAAAAAAAAAGTTTCAGGGCTCACAAAAGTGTTTCAAGAATGAGCTGGAATTATAATAGGAGATTTAGATTATATATTACAGGGAGAACCAAGTAATGGTAAGGACAGGCAAACATCAGAAGAGGTTTAAACATTTCTGCTGTGGGAGGACTTTTATGAGCTGCTTAAACAAACAGCTGGTAGGAACAACAAAGGCATGGCTGATCCTACCTTGCAGCAGGAACACGGAGTAGATGGTGCATCTTTGAGCCCTTTTAGCCCTCATTTCCTACAGTGATGAAGGCTGTGCCACCTTGCCATGGGGTCCAGCCTTCCCTCACTGCCAGCTCTGACCCTGTGCGCTAATTCGGCCCGGTTCGAGGGAGGAATGAGGCTCAAAGACTCTGAAGCTCCTGTAGCTTCCTTGCAAAATGTGGGGTATAAACTGAGATAAGTGGTGGTGCAGCTGATGACTCTGGTGTGCTGGATGGGCTGGAAGCTGTGGGCTGGGTTAAGGCAGGTGGGCAAGCTGGAGGCATTGCAGGGGGGAGCAGGAACATGGGAATGAACTGGGCTGTTCCTGTGGCACGATCAGAGCAGAAAATCCCATTAGAAATGGGGTTTAATTACTTTCACTACTCAAGAAACTAGTTTCACTCAGGGAAAAGCAAGTGTTTGTATGCTATTGTTTCATGGTGACCAACCAGCAATGCATCGATCTGATACAGAACTTGTCTTTTTTTAGCAAAAGTGTGTCTTTCCAGGATCAAAGTGTTAACCACAGAGATATTCTGTACAAAACCACACAGATTACCGGAACTGATAAGCATTGTGGTTCTCATCTCTAAAAATATGAACTGCTACTATTATATCTGCTTTTTTCCTTGTTCTCTATAGGATGGTACCTTTTTTTGAAGCTTCCAATGGTGAATAGACCTCCATGTTTAAAAATACATCAAATGATTAGCCCTACTCTGTACTAAAATTGAAGGTGGGGAAAAATCTTTAATATTGAAAATATGTTGCTTCAGGATTGTATCCTTTCCATCCAGGACAAAAATAATATTTTACTTACTCATATCTCTTTAAGTATTCAATAAGTCAGCCCAACTATGAGTTGGCAGTCATTGCTGTGTGTATCACCCCTCATGAATACTTAAAGTAAAAGGCTTAATAACCACTGCATAGCTACAAGGTGTGTAGGGAGAAATTATGTGGAAAGAAGTTAAACTCTTGTAGCTAGCCATCCTTTGACAATAAATAATTTATATTATCTATACTTGGGAGGATTCTTAAAAGAGTGCATTTGGTACATATTGCACTGCATCACTACAGTGATGTATTTCTGAGAATCTGCCTTAAAATTAATCACAAAATTCTTCGAATAGGAGCAGACTTGGCAGATTCAACATAGGAAATGTTATACAGAAAGAAGTGCTTTAATGGTCATCAAAAGGAATGAGGACGATATTGAGAACCATCTGGATAATCAATTAAACTGGCCAAGAAAATGCTTCAGTCATTCAGAAAATGGAAATAAGACAGCAAATACATATTTTTAAATATTTTACTGAAAATAAAACAAACAGTGTCTCTCCTCTGGCAAACCTCTGAATAGCTCCAGTAAATGAGCATGGTCCTAATCCAACAAAGCATATGCAAGCACAATGGTAAATACATTTATTTCATCCAGTTTACGTGTTGAAAATTACATTTCTATTTATGGCATCGCTGGATGGGGACCTAACCTGAATTATGCAAAGTCTTTGAACAGAGACTGGAGGAGGGGTTTGTTTTTAGCATTAAAACCACCAGAATGCCCCCGTGCCGGACGTTCCCGGCCTCTCTGCGAGAGGCCGCTTTGCGGGCTCTTTCCTTTTTTCAAACACAATCCCGAGCCCTTGTGACAGTCCCCGCGTGGCCCGGCGGCGCGGAGCCCGCGGGTGCCGCGGTGCCCGATCCCCGCCAGCGCAGGGGCGCTCCCGCCCCCCGGGCACCGCCACGACCGCGGGGCCGCGGCAGCGCCCGGGGCTCGCGGGCTGAGAGGGGCCGGTGCGGGCAGAGAGGGGCCGGTGCGGGCAGAGAGGGGCCGGTGCGGGCAGAGAGGCCCGGCGGGCTGAGAGGGGCCGGTGCGGCCCCGCGGCGGCGCAGGTGAGAGGCGCCTGTGGCGGGCCGGGGCGCGGGAGCGGTGCCGGGGCCGCGGAGCGCAGCGCGGCCTTTGTTCCCGGCCGGGCGCGGGGCAGAGCGCGGCCCGCGGTGCGCGTGCGCGGGAGGGTGGGGGGGGGGGGGGTGCGCTGTCGGGAGCGCGCCCGTGGAGCGCGCGCGCGCGGAGGCGGCGGCGGCAGGATCGCTCGGGCGCAGCCGGCGCGTGCCCGCGGCGCTGGGAGCGAGCGAGTGAGGCGGGGAGCGCGCGGTGGGCTCGGGCCGCGCACGGAGCGTCTCGGCCGGAGCGGCGCAGCGCAGTCGGCCCTCACGGAGCCGCCATCGGGGGAGCCAAGGCCGCCTCAGCGGGTCCCGCCCTGCCCGGCGCCCACAGGTGAGCGCCGTGGGGAGAGCGAGGGGCAGCGGGAGCGGCGGGCCCCGCGCGGCCCTCAGCCCCCGCCCGGGCCCCGCCGCCCGCGGGAGGCCCCGGCGCGACCGCGGGGCGGGCTCGGGACGAGGCCCCTGCGCGGCCTAAGCGCGGCCCGGGCGGGCGGTGCTGTGAGGCGGCCGCGGCTCGGGGGAGCGCGGCGCGGCGGGGCCTGCGGGGAGCGGCGGCCCCGAGCCCTTCCGCCGGGCCATTGTGTGCAGGCGGAGGCGGCGGGGCTGTCCCTTTGTGGGCTCGGCCTCGGCCCCGCCGCGCTTTGTGCTCGGGGAGCGCCGCGGGCTCGGCGCGGCCCGGGGAGGCGGCCTGGCCCCTGCGAGCTCCCGGCGGGCCCGGCCGCCGCAGGAACGCGCTGCCGGGGTAAATGTGCCGCTGGGTGCCCCTCGCTGACATTACCGCGAGGGCTGCTAGCTCTTACTTAATCCGGTGAGAGCAAAGAGGGAGGGAGATATTTGCCCATCCTACCGTTTCCCCCTTAGAGATGAAAAGGCTTGGGACCTTCGTACCTTCCCCTTCTCCAAGGTTTTAAAAGGACGGGAGACAACGGCGTTTGTAGTGAAAGGCAAAGCATCTCAAGTATTTCTTCTGGAGAAGAACCGAGTTTCTTTCCCGGTGGTGAGCTGGTGGCACTTTTATTTTATGCTTACATTAATACAGTATTTCTCCAGTATTCTCCTTGCGCCCTCCTTGTCAACCACTTTGGGTGAATATTGCCTTGTCTCTGTAATGAACAGTCTACTCATGGTCTAAATAAATAGATAAAGCGATTTAATTTGTTTAACGTGGCACATGGGTGTCTGTTAGGAAGCTCATAGCTAATTGGACTAGGTCATGAAGGACATGGGATATTCCACGCTCGGGACATAGTTTCAGTTGTCTGTTTATCTCCTTTCTAAACTGAGACTAGCATGGTGCATTCCAGAGGGGGAGGGAAAATGGAAGGGACACTTCTCAGCCCTGATTTAATCAAGCTGGTCTGCAAGAAGATTTGAGTTACTGGAATACAGGTACAGTAATACAGAGGTTTTTAGGATAAAGCTTGGAACTCTGGACTATTAATTCGTTGCAGAAAATTACTTTGATGAGTATACCTGAAGTAAAAATCGACTGCTAGAAATAAATTTCATTTGAATGGAAACTAATGTTCTTAAATAGCCTTTGCCCTTTTCAGTGAAAAATCATAGAGGAAAGCACAAGAATAAGACCTATCCCTCTGTGATACAATTTTAGAAATCTGTTGTGACCCAAGAATTCTGAACCTGATGAAATGATGGGCATTTTTGACCTGAAAGTGCGTGTCTAGATGAAGTAGCTTAACTGTTACTGTGCCATATCTGTTGATAAGGTTTTAATGCCATAGACCAATCAGACTGTAGTAGAGGAGTTAGCTCAGAAATTCAGTGGCTCCAGCTAAGTAGGTGTGAACTAAAGAAAGTGAATACTTTAAATAACAAGAGTACTTTTCATAGTTAGGTTTGAGTAGAGTTGCTGCTCTTTGCTTAGTGTGAATTGAGAAAGAAATCCTGCTCAAATGTCAGACACCTGCCTCTAATGTGGAAAAGGGGAGTATGAGCATGTTCATGTGAGAAGCAACCCTTTGGTCTGAAAATTCAAAGAAATGAAGTAGCACAGTTTTATGAACTATGGTCTTCATATGAAACATTCTGGAAGACTGTGCATGCAACTGCTATTAGAAATACGATGTTCTTAATTTTAAATTAGAATCACTTTGATTTATTTTCTTCTGTAGTGGTGCTTTTGTCTTGTAACTGTCAGCTTTAAAACCTGGACTGAGTAGTTTTGCCAAATGGATTATTAGTGTCTTTTTTGCTTTAATGATTGTCTTATTTTCAGGAGCTAAACTGAAGCAGAATAGTCAAGGTAAATGAATGATATTTGAAATTCTTGACACATAGAAAGAACTCGCTTCTGCAGTTGTAGTGCATGTAGGCAGTCTGCAGAAGGCCAGATTGTGCACTGTGTTTGCAGCTGCTGGCTGTGGTTACCTGGATTCCTGCTCAGTGCTGTTGGTGCTACCTGCTGCAAAAAGCAGCTGCACTGGAGTGAGGATGCTGGCAGGCTCTGGTTCATCTCAGCCATCACGTGGTGCTTGAAGCTCAGGATCTCAGCTCCAGAGTTTACAGTCTTAAATGTCATGAACGTTGGAGATGCAGATTTTTTTACTGGATTTTTTGCTTTTCCATTGCTTTGCTTTTTAAAGGAAAAACAACATTATAGAAAAGTGAAAACTAAATGTAATTTAAAAAGTAGTAAGAGGTTTTTGGGATTTTTTGTGGGTTTTTTTTTTTACTTTGACAAAATACACGACAGAGACAAACTTTCCTTAATAAAATGTTTTCATTAATAAGAATGTTTCATTAGTAAAAAAAAATTGTTATAAGCAGGTTACTCTTTTTGAAAGTGTACATACTGTTCCTTTCCTAAATGTTCAATGGCATGGTAAAAATGTAATTTTGATGTGTGTTTTCTGTGTTCAGTATCACATTGTGGGCTAGAAATTGGGAGAGATGCATAAATACTGTGTTGTTACCATGAGCTGTTACTTCAGGTTTACCTGAGATTTTGTTAACTTTACAATGGAGTAAAGGAAGACAAAAGCTAGCATTAATACTCCATTTAACAGTCTTTAAGTTTGTGCCACTAGAGACAGACAGTCTGGTTCTGACCCAAACTGCATACCATGTTTCTGTAATGGCCAGGACAACTTATGAGTATATGCCTGTTTGAGTGACTGTATAAAATAACGATTCTTTCTGTTATCATAGGAATAATGAGAGATTTGGTTACTAAGTCCGCAATACTTTAATCAGATAAAGTGCTAGGTAATTACAGCTAACCAAATGGTCCACTTCTGAATTTAACTTGTTTTTCTTTATAGAAGCTGAATATGAAAAGTCAGGTTGTCCGTGTTTTTGGGAAGGAAGTAAAATGTTACTTATGATAAAATCTGTATTTTTCCTCTTGCACCTGGAAAAATTAATTATAAAATTACCATTGATCTATTCCAGGTCAATTGATATAAGAAGAGCAGTAAATTGCTCTATATACAGTTGCTGACCTTTTCCCTTTTTTGGTCTGCCTTATCCAGAAACACATATTTATCTCTTCTCGTAGCAATTGATGACCTTGCTGGACATGAAGAAAAACAAGGAGAGTGTAGCGATAACTTGGCTGCTTAAAAAATTACTCATCCACTCCTTAAAAGTGAAAGAGAAGTTCTTTGAAGTGTGGTTTGTGTGGCTGGGGTGGTTTAACCCCAACTGGCAGCTCTGTACCACACAGCCTCCCTCTCACTTCCCTACCTGCGGGATCAAGAACAGAATTGCAAGAGTAAAAGCAAAAAAAACCCAAAAACCTCTTCGATTGAGATAAAGACGGTGTAATAGATAAAGGAAGAAATGCACACACAAGCAAAGCAAATCAAGGAATTCTTTCACCAGTTCCCATGAGCAAGGCAGGTGTTCAGCCATTGCCAGTAGAGCAGGGCTCCATCATGCTTGGAGGTCACTTGGGGAGACAAATGCCATCGCTCCAGACATCCCCCCTTTCTCTTCTCCCCATCTTTATTTGCTGAGCATGATGCCAGCAGGTCTGGGGTCACCTGTCCTGGCTGTGTCCCCTCCCAAGGTGTTGTGCAGCCCCAGCCTCCCCTCTGCTGGGGTGTTGTGAGAAGCAGGAAAGGCCTCAACTCTGTGCAAGCTCTGCTCAGCAATAGCAAAACCATCTGTATTTATCAGCACTGCTTCCAGCACAAACCCAAAACACAGCCCTGTCTCAGCCACTGCAAAGAAAATGAACTCTACTCCAAGCCAAATCAGCACAGTGCCATGAGGTCTTTAAATATTCTACGGTTCTTTTCTACAGTTCTTACACATAGTACTGAACAGAGCAAAAAGTAATTTAGACTTTGAAGAAAGACCACAGTCACTTTTCAAGGTTATTTTTTTTTTAATGCTGTCAAAGAGGAGCATTTAGAATGCCACATTTTTAAGAGTTGCTTTCAAATACACGTTCAGATGAAGTATGTTGAAGGAAGATTATTCTTAAAATTTTGCTAATGTATGGATTTTGCAAAGGTTTTAAAGGAGTAGGAGTATTTTAAAGCAATTTGATGTTAAACTGCAGGAAAGAAAGCTTGAAAATAAATTGCATAAAAATTTCTAGAATTGGTGTCTAGCTTAGAAATGTGCATGTGTTAAAAGGCATGTGTTATCTTTGTTGTTTCTGTTTGTTCCGTGTTACAGATCTTTCATGAGGGAAAGTTATATGTCTTATATATTTTACAAGGGGATGACAACTGCAATACAAGGCATCTCTTTTGTAAATTTTGGTACAAGTTCCTTCATGCTGAAGTGTGATGTAGGTATTAGTTTGAAGTGGGTTTAAAAGTTTTTTTTTCCTATGATTTTTTCGAAAGTCAGCGTTATTCTTAAAAAATGTGATTATTTGTTGTTAACACCTCACTGTTAGGGAGGAGAAATGTAGCACTGCACAGGCTGTGGCACATGCAGGATACAGATCCTGCGGGGCTGCCAGCGTTCACTTGCAGTGCTGCTGCTCCCATGGGAATGTGAAACGGAGCAGTTGCAGTCCCAAATTCAGTTGAGAACTGAACCTGTGAGGAGAGGGTAACTCTTCCCCGGTGCCCTTCCCAGGGCAGCTGGCACCATGGGACCGTGAATTCAGCCCTGCTGCAGGAGGTGCCACCCTCTGTCACTGCGGCTGCGCTCGGTCCCCATCGGGGCAGGCTTAGAGCTAAGAAAGGATGGCTGGCCCTCTATTGCCACTTGTGTTTGGTGCTTCCTGCGGTGCCAGGGGTGCTCAGGAAGTGCTCAGGTGCTTGTGCAAGACTGGTCTTGTTGAATACATTACCTGAAAGAGAAGGAAAAGCAGTGGGTGAAAAGCAGGCAGCACAACCACTCTTCGGTGGCAGCCTCCTTTTGTTTGTTGTGGAAATGGTGGAATTACACTCCAGCATCCTCTGTGTGTGTGCCTGTTGTCATGGAGCCTGTATCTGGTGGGTCATTCTTCCTGCTATAGATAAAACATTTTCTTGGAGTGCTGTGTGAAAGCTCTTAAGAAATATTGTAACTGAGCAGTTTAATTAGAAGTGCTATTAAAATATTTAAGAAACTTTAAAACATGCCATGTTGCTAGTTTGAAAGGTAGTGACTGTAACTCCTTTCTGTGAAAAATGGACTCTAGATTTTTTTTTCTTTTGAACACTCATTACCTTCTTTTTTTTTTTCTTTCTTTTTTTACCAACAGGGGGTCTGCTCCAGTTTTATATTTTAATCTTAGATTACCTAATGTTGTTTTGGAAATCATATGGTAAACATGGCTTGATCTGCATTTTTATGTTGATACCTTTATGACCCCACTTTAAGGTGTAAAAGAGAAACTTCTTACGTTTAAAACTGATCACTTTTTCCTATATTTGAGCCTTAAGTCTTGCTCCTTTCTGTCTCACAAGGTGCATGTGCAATTGTCTTCTTATAAAAGTTGTAAAATTGCTGTGCTCAACTAATATTTGGGTTTCTGAATTACTTTATTTTGAAATATATATGCACTTGTATTTATATAAAAGTCTTTAG